GGGGAGGTTGGGGGTTAATGGGGGGGGCGGGCTGAGGCACATCCTTGTAATATCTTAACCAATAAAGAAATTAAGGATTAAAAGAAAAGAAAAGCCAATGGTATTGGACAGGGTCTCAGGAAATCATCAGGATGGGGCTATCAGGGTAAGCCAAGTTGATAGAGTCTCAGATATGGCTTGCCTGCCGGCTCTGTGGGGAGGGCTCAGCAAAGAATAATGGCCTCTGTCTGGGAGAAGGCTGCCCTTCAGCCTTTGCCTTGAAGCCAGACAATTCCATTCTTCCCAGGATGTCCCTGGCTCTTTTGAGCTGCTGCCCCAGCATTGGACCTCAGAGGGAGGGAGTCCAAGTAGGTCCATGTGCCAGCCCTTTAAGAGGAACTCCTGGGCCCAGCCTGAGTGGCTCAGTGGTTGAGTGTCAGACCTATGAACCAAAAGGTCATGATTCAATTCCCAATTCCCCATCAGGGCACATGCCCTAGTTGCAGGCTGGGTCCCCAGTGAGGGGGGCGTGCAGGAGAAAGCCAATCAGTAATTCTCATCATTAATGCTTCTATCTCTCTCTCTCTGAAATTGTTGTAATGTACCCCACGAATCACACAAGGACGCCTCAAGAAGTTGAATTAAAGAGTCACATTTATTGCAAATCCAGGACTATGAGGGGGCATTTCACTCTCCCAGATCTCATAGTGATAAGATGGCCGCAATACCAGATTTATGTAGGCAAAAATCACAAAGGTATTGATTACATCCCAGGGTTTGGAATGAGGAACCTGGTTTGCAAAAGAGCAGTTTACAGAAGCAAAGCAGCATGTTATCTAAATTATCGTTTTGAGTCTCTGGAACACTGAGTCAACAGGGACACGTTAACTGGAGCCCTCTGACGTTGGGATAATTGTGCTGTCCTTCCCAGGTAAAGGAAAATGTGCTTTCTAAGACCAGTATGACCACAACCAATGGGATATTCACATTACAATCAATAGGGTATTCAATCAAATGGGATGATTTATATAATTCAGAAAATCAAAATAACTTTTCTATTGTTAAACAAAGCAAATAAGTACAGAAGCCAAACAGCAGGGTTAAAGTTAAACTATAGTTTCTACCTGAGATGATTGCTACCATATTTCAAAATCAGTAAAAATATATTCATTCTAAAAAAGAAAAAGAATGCCTGGAACTCCAGAGCCCTCTGTCCTAGCCACAATCCCCACTGGTTTTTACAGTCAGAAGTTCTGGGGACTTGTCTTCCCAGCTCTGGAAGACTTTGCTGGGGATTCTGATGTAGTGCTGGGATCCCTTGTTCCTTAGGGGGTGTCCTGATAGCCAAGATATCTCTGCTGATTTTTATTTTATTATTATTATTTTTAGGCCTCATCTGAGGATATTTTTTTTCCATTGAGAGTGGAAAGGAGGTTGGGAGGGGAGAGAGAGGAGAGAGAGAAACTTCGATGTGAGAGAGGCACATTGATTGGTTGCCTACCACACGCGCCTGGATCTGGGCCAGAGATCAAACCTGCAACCCAGGTATGTGCCCTTGACCAGGAATCAAACCCACGACTCTTCAGTGCGAGGGCCGACGCTCTAAACACTGAGCAATGCGAGCCAATGCTGATTTTTAAAAATATATTTTTATTGATTTCAGAGAGAGGAAGGGAGAGGGATGGAGAGAAACACCAGTCAGCTGCCTCTTGCATGCCCCCCAGTGGGGATGGAGCCCGCAACCCCAGCATGTACCCTGTCTGGGAATCGAGCTGGCAAGCCCTTGGTCCAAAGGTCCATGCTCAACCTTTGAGCCCAGCACACGTTGCCTCCTTTAGGTTTAGGGAACAGTGTCACCTGGTGGCCAGTGAGGGGTCGGAGAGAAGGTAACTGGCGGCATTTCTGTCACTCTGGTTCGGTGGAGGGGTAGGTTCGAAATGAACTTGTGCCTCTTTCAGGCGGTCTACCATAGACTTTCCCAAAGCACCACGGACCCAGGGCCTGCAGAGGTCGCCCCTTTCTGCAGTCCTTCTCTGAGGGCGCCCCAGGGACCAGCCCACGTCCTCTTGACCGCCCCGCCCACTTTGGCCCCGCCCACTTTGGTCCCGCCCCGCCCCTTCCGGCCCCGCCCCGCCCCCTCGGGCCATAGCCTGCCCAGCTGGGCTGCGTCCCGGAGCCCGGACCCTCCGTCTGGCAGGTACCAGTCCCCTCTCTGGCCCGGGTCAAACCCGCGAAGACCCTGGCGCCATGTGGCGGGCGGCTGGGGCCGCGCTCCGAACCCCTGGGGCGCCCCGCCAGCTCCGGAGGGGCCTGTCCACACCGTCCCGTTCCTCGCAAAAGGCCGCGACCCTGGTCGTCACGCCCAAGGCTGGTCTGGCCGACGAGCTCCTGGACATCAAAGCGGAAGGCTTGCGCCCTGGGGAGCGGGTGACGCTGAGGGCCTCGGCCGCCAGCCACCGAGGCCGCCTCTTCCACTCGCTGGCCCACTTCGAGGCTGACGCCCGCGGGGGGCTGGACCTGGCCAGGGATCCGGCTCTGGGCGGCGACTTCGAGGGCGTGGAGCCCATGGGGCTCCTGTGGAGCCTCACGCCGGCGGGCTCCGGGGGCCCCTGCCTCGGCCGGATGCCCAGGGGCGTGTTGAAAAACCCGCTCAAAGTGGAGGTGACTGTCCACCGCGCGCCGCAGCAGCCGGAGGGGCCGCTGGGCCCGGCGCTGGCCTCGGCCCGGGTGCAGCGCTGGTTCTCCAGCCCCGAGCTGTCCCGCGTTCGGCTGCAAACGGGCCGCGTGCAGGGCAGCTTCCTGCTGCCCCCAGGTGCGTGAGCACGCCTTTCCCCACGAGGGCCTTGCAGGGGCTTTAGGGCATGCACTTACCAAAGCTGACTGCTTTGCTAGCTGATTTGTCCTCTGAAAACAAAGCGAGCGTCATCATTTCTTTGTGTCGATAATCATTTCTCTAATTGGTGGCTGGGATTTCAATGTGAATTTATCTGCCCACCCTCCAAATTCCTAGTGCTGCAGACACTATTCCTTGGGAGCATATACCTTCTGATTTTGCTGTGTTAAGCGTGATGGCTGTATAGTTTCTAGCATTAAATGCTGGTTTGCCTATCTCTAGTAGGCAGAGCTTTGTGTTCATTTAACCTTCGCCATTATCATATCTTGGAAAAAATGACGAGAATAGTGATACATATCTGTCTTTCATTGGTGTCTTGCTCAAGCCCCAAAGTGACTGAAATTCATATATATATGTATATATATATATATATAATGTATATATAATATGACATATATAATATATGTATATATAATGACATATATAATATATATAATATATTTTTATTGATTTTAGAGAAGAAGGGAGAGGGAGAGAGAAATGGAACATCAATGATGAGAGAGAATCTTGGATCGGCTGCCTCCTGCACGCCTCGTACTGGGGATGGAGCCCTCAACCTGGGCATGTGCCCTGACATGGAATCGAACCTTGACCACCTGGTTCATAGGTGGACATTCAGACACTGAGCCACACAGGCCAGATTGAAGTCCCATTATATCGTTCACTCTTTTATACTGGCTTCATGGTAGAGTAAAGATGACTTTTCTTTTTAAATTTATTTATTTGAGAGAGAGAAAGGGAGAGAGAAACATCTATTTGTTGTTCCACTTAATTTATGCATTCATTGGTTGATTCTAATATATGCCCTGACTGGGGATCCAACCTGAAACCTTGGCCTGTTGGGAGGATAATCTAACCAACTGAGCTACCCAGCCAGGGCCAAAGATAACATTTTTTGTTGTTATCTGACATTCTCTAATGCCTGGGAGACCTTCACCATAATGAGAAAACTGTTTCATTGCTCATTTCATACATCAAAGAACAACTTTATATTATACATGAGGAAACTGAGGCCTAAAGTATTTTAACCAAATCACACAGCTAGGTGATGGTAAAATCAGGGTGCAGTAAAACTCTTTGAGCTCCAAACTATGACCTTCTCCATAAATACAGGCTAAGTGAAACAATGAGTGAAATATTAAGGTTTTTAATTTTTTTTTTTAACTCAGTTTAGCATAACCCCTACTCTCACCCTCAGGATTCTTAGGGACAACTAAGAATCTTTTTTTAAAATATATTTTTATTGATTTCAGAGAGGAAGGGAGAGAGGGAGAGAGAGATAGAAACATCAATGATGAGAGAGAATCATTGATTAGCTGCCTCCTGCACATCCCTCACTGGGGAATTGAACCTTGACCTCCTGGTTCATAGGTCCATGCTCAACCACTGAGCCATGCCTGCCAGGCCTAAGAATGTGTGTATGCGGGGGGGGAGGGGGGGGCAGCTTTTAAAAAATAGCCAATAAAGCTCTAGCTGGTTTGGCTCAGTGGATAGAGCATTGGCCTCCAGACTGAAGGGTCCCGGGCTCAATTCCAGTCAAAGGCACGTACCTGGGTTGCAGGCTCCTGGCCCTGGTTGGGGGCATGCAGGAGCCAACCAATCAATGTGTGTCCCTCTCACATCGGTTTTTCTCTGTTTTCCTCTTCCTTCCACTCTCTCTAAAAATCAATGGAGTCCTAGCTGGTTTGTCTCAGTGGATAGAGCGTCAGCCTGTGGACCACTGGGTCCCGGGTTCAATTCTGGCCTAAGGGCACATGCACGGGTTGCAGGCTCGGTCCCCAGTGGGGGTTGGGGGGTGCAGGAGACAGCTGATCAATGATTTTCCCTCATCACTGATGTTTCTATCTCTCTGTCCTTCTGCCTTCCTCTCTGAAATCAATAAAAATAATTTTTTAAATAAATAAATCTAGTGTTTAAGACCCTGGTCAAGGGCATATACCTGGGTTGCGGGCACATCTCCAGTAGAGAGTGCAGGAGGCAGCTGATCGATGTTTCTCTCTCGTCGATGTTTCTAACTCTCTATCCCTCTCCATTTCTCTCTGTAAAAAAAAGTCAATAAAATATATTTAAAAAAAAATAAAAAATAAATATTCTGTCACTTAATTCAAGATTAATCCTGTTTCCTGGTTTATAGGAGATGGTCCTTTTCCTGGTTTGATTGATATGTTTGGAGACGGAGGATTAAATGAATCTCGAGCGAGTCTCCTGGCTTGTCGAGGTTTTGCTGCTCTGGCTTTGCCATTTTTTGGCTATGAAGATCTACCTCCAATTATGAAGGACTTAAATTTAGATTACTTTGAAGAGGCAGCTAAATTTGTGCAAAGTCATCCAAAGGTGAGTGGGATGCCAGAGAGAAATGTATTTAAAATAAAGTCATTAGCGCTAGGAGAGAGTGAATATAGAAAGTGGTGCTAGTGGGTTGGAAGATATCTGTAACAAATACCAATCATGCTTTCTTTTTCTCTCTCCTTCTTTGTCTTTTTCTTGAATCTTCAGGTCAAAGGTCCTAACATTGGAGTGATTGGTTCTGGGAAAGGGGCAGAGTTGGCCCTTTCCATGGCTAGCTTTCTCCCAAATATAGCTGCAGTTGTGAGCATCAATGGCTGCATCTCTAACACAGCTACTTCCCTTACATGTGGTGGACTGATCCTGCCGGGACTGCCTTTTAACCTGGACAAAATCTCTGCTACCAATTCAAGGGCATATGATATTAAAGAAGCGCTGGAGGACCCCTTGGATCCAGCCTATCGGGAAAGCCGTATCCCCCTCGAAAAAGCCAGTGCCCATTTCCTTTTTATCGTTGGAGAGGATGACAGGCATTGGAAGAGCTCTGTGTATGCTGACATAGCTGTGAATCACCTCGCAGAGCATGGGAAGACGAATTTCACTCTTTTAAGCTACCCTAATGCTGGCCACAGAATAGATCCCCCTTACAGCCCCTTTTTCTCTGCAGCCCTGGACCCGGTATTGGGGGTTCCTGTTTTAGGAGGTGGGCAGCTCAAAGCTCATGCTGTTGCTCAGATTGAGTCTTGGAAGAAGATCTTGGAGTTTTTGCACTTGCATCTGGGGTAAAGTCTTGCAAACTAGACAGTTAAATTTAGAATATGCTCAGAACAAATTAGGGGACAGATTGGATATTTTTGACAAATGATGACTGAGATCTGGACTTCTCATGGCCTCGGCAAGCTTTTAAAAGAAGTAAAAACACTCACTTCAAGTTCATCAGAGCCTGTAGCTTCGGTACTATCCATGTTTCTCCATGTTTGTTTGAGCTTGAACTCAAGGTAATTGCTAAAAACCGGTTTTTAATCTGCCATTTACCCACCCTTCCAAGGATTTAAAAAAAAAAAAAAGGTATAAATTGTTTGCTATATCTGTCCCATAGGTTTTACAACTGTTTTGAACAAGATAAATATAGGTCCCTGGTTTTACAATAGGGAACAATTGGCCTACGATAACTTGCTCATAACAGTCAGAGGCTGGAATGAATTCTAACAAGATAACTTGGAGGCTAATTGGTGGTAGACTGAACTCATAGAATCCTTTCTGTTGTTAATCAGATTTTGATATTTTTCTAGTTGCCACCCATTCTAGGGTCTTTAAGAAAAGTTAGAAATCCCAAGATACTGCTTTAAAAATGGCATTCAGTTACTAAGACATACTTAGATTCTCTACAGTGTGTTTATCTCTGTATTTGTACTTTTTTAAAAAATATATATATATATAGGTTTCTTTTGTTCTTTTTTTGGTTGTTTGTTTGTTTTTCAATCCTCACCTGAGGATATTTTTCCATTAATTTTTAGGGAGAGTGGAAGAGAGAGGGAAAGACAGAGAGAAACATTGATGTGAGAGAAATACATCCATTGGTTGCCTCCTGCAGGAGCCCTGATCAGGGCCCGGGCCAGGGAGGAGCCTACAACCCAGGTAAGTGCCCTTGACCAGATTCGAACCCAGGACCCTTTCTTCTGCAGGCTGATGCTCTATCCACTGAGCAAAACAGGCTAGGGCCACACTAGGTTTCAAAAATATATTTAAAACTAGGTAGATTACAGGTTCTAGTCCCATGTAGCAATGTAATTATCTCAGGGGAAGACAGAACTCATCACCTACCTTTCACCACCTTCACCAAAAATTAATTACAATTTGTTAGGTGAGCCTTAACTTATTTTAATAATCTTAGCTGAATTTCTGAAAACTTATTCTAAACTTTAATATGTGTAGAGCCCAGCCGGCATGATTCAGTGGTTGAACGTCAATCTATGAACCAGGAGGTTATAGTTCGATTCCCGGTCAGGACACATGCCCAGGTTGCAGGCTCGATCCCCAGTAGGGGGCATGAAGTATGAGGTTGATCAATTATTCTTTCTCATCATTGATGTTTCTCTCTCCCTCTCCCTTCCTCTCTCTGAAATCAATAAAAAACATTTTTATTGATTTCAGAGAGAGGAAGGGAGAGGGAGAGAGAAACATCATCGATGAGAGAGAATCATGGATCTGCTTGCCTCCTCCATACCCCCTAGTGGGGATCAAGCCTGCGACCCAGGCATGTGCCCTTGACCAGAATTGAAACTGGGACCCTTCAGTCCACAGGCTGATGCTCTATCCACTCAGCCAAACCGGCCAGGGCTGTATATATATTTTTAAAAGATAAAATGTGTGTAGAATTAGCAAATATTAAAAGTTCTGGCCCTCATCTTAATTTTTTTCATATACTTGAGGGGGAAAATGAAGGTATTAATTACTAGACTTTGCTTTTGGTTGATCAGTGGAGCTTGTGGTCAAAACTATATTTTGGGTTCTTCTTGTCAGAAAATGAAGTATTGTCACCCTAATTTGTAGTATTAATAGTTCACCCAAAATTAGCATTATTTTTATTGTTTCAAATTATTAACATACCCACACATTCTCCTGAATTTTGAGTTATTCATATAAGATTTTTTAGAGGATTATTTTATTTTTTAAAATATATTTTTATTGATTTCAGAGAGGAAGGAAGAGGGAGAGAGAGATAGTATCATCAATGATGAGAGGAACTCATTGATGGGCTGCCTCCTGCACGCCCCCTACTGGGGATCGAGCCCACAACCCAGGCATGTGCCCTTGACAGGAATCAAACCTGGGACCCTTCAGTCTGCAGGCTGATGCTCTAGCCACTGAGCCAAACCAGCTAGGGCAAAGAGGACTATTTTAAAACAGACCAATAACAGTGAGGGGAGGAACTTGCTTTTCAGCAAATAACTAATGAGAATCATAATCTGTGAAATTGACTATTGAAATTTGATACAATACTCATTCTAATTTGAATTTATACATCTCTTGACTTAATAACCTAAGAATTATTCACTCTATTAGGTGATAAAGTGTTTTTTTTTAAATTTTAGCTATTTTGCTAAATTTCTAATCATTTAATTGTGACAATTTTTCTCTTTTATTTGATTCACATTCTTGTTTAAAAATTAAAGGCTTCTTAACATAATTGGTTTTCTATCATTTCAAACTATGTATTTTATCTATACTTTTCAAAAGGTCTGCTAGATTTTTTAAAGTTTGGGGACACTGTTTTAATAATAATTTTAACTTTTCTCTCAACTTTCTGTTATCCAGGCCTGCAACAAGAGCAAGTGGACCCAAGCCATATTCTCTGGTGAACAGCTTTTGGAATCTATTTCGTCATTTTGCAGGGTTTAAAAGAACAGAGAAAGGATCCAAGTTATATAATTCTTTTTCCTTTTCCTGTGTGAATATTTGTGTGTGTGTGTGTGTGTGTGTGTGTGTGTGTGTGTGTGTGTGGTGTGTGTGTGTGGTGTGTGTGTGTGGTGTGTGTGTGTGGTGTGTGTGTGAATATTTTTAACCTTTGAGGATGTGAAACTCAAAATGCACTTGATGGGAAATGTACCAAGATATTGTGAATTAATTTGCAGAGACAAGAAAATTTCTGTTTATATAGTGGTAAATAGTTTATATACAGCACATAAAAGATATTCATGACATGTAGAAATATTGTTCTCAGCAATCATGAAGATTGGGGTAATCTGTAGTTTTGAGTAAAAGAAATACTCTGCTGGGTTATGAGCTATGTTTAAGGATTAGATTCCATTACAACCACATCAACAAAAACAGGTTTTTGCAGGAGAATAATAATTCTAGTTTGGAGAGTGTAGACAGGTTTGAAGATCTGGAAAAAAAAAGTCACAGAGGTAGGAAAAGTGAACCAGCTGTGTGTGGGCTTAGGAAAGAAGTTACAGAGGCAAAAGAAGGGCCCTTGGAGCTTGGGAAAGAGGAAGTTAAAGGTAACACCTGAGGCAAAGAAGAGGAGGAGGGGAGAGCATGTATCTGGAGGTCTCTGGGGAGGATCCCAATAAAATAGTCCTCAGCTTTTCAGGTGTGTCCTTTCAGGGTTGTGGTTTCTGCCGATTGGTCGGTACCAGGGCAGGGGTCATAGTCAATGAACTGGTCCAGACGTCAGCCATGGCATCGCTTGTCTGGTTTTGCTGCTTTTCTGGGCCTGGAGCTGAAACACAAGTGAGGCCTAGATGTTATCGCTAGATGTTACCTTCATGCTGGAGCCCTTCAGGGAGTCAAATGGGGCCACTCTTCCAATCCTTGTTCCTCCTCCCAGGGAGTCTACGGCATAACTAGTGACATGCCAGGGGAGGAAAGGTCAGGGGAGGGTCCGAATCGCATGATCTGCAATATGGAAAGGTCAGGAGGTCTAAACTGAAAGAAACGTTACCCCCGGGGGGCAAGGTCCTTGTTTTACCTGTTTTGCCTGTTGCTAGGTACCCGGGGCTTTCCACACTGGTGACCTTCTGTACCTGGCCCGTCGTCCCTGCTCTGCTCATGTCTAACTGTCTACACACAAGAACAAAGTTGGATATGTCATAAATATACAGTTTTATTTTCTCCAGTAAAATTTTTACTTTTTCTTAGTTTTATAAATGTGATTGTTACATCTTTGAAAATGAAATTTATTTCTTATTCTAAATTTTAAAACATCCACATTATAGAGCAATTAAAAAATAGACAAGCAAAGTGAGCAAATACAAATTTTGTTTGACAGCTTGCATTTTAAATGAACACATCATGACTATGCATGCCAATAGATGCATTTCAGCAACATTTTTAATGGAAGCATTATGTCATTGTTTGGATATTCAACAATACCAATTTTGTTGACATTTGAGTTGTTTTCTTTTTACTATTAAAACTTTGAACGTATATCTGTGTGTGCTTGGATGATTATTTCTTCAGGATGAAGTTCTAGAAGTGGAACTGCTGAGTCACAAAGGTGCAAAGTTTTAAAAGATTTTATCAATGTAAGAAACGTCCCAATTTGTAAGAATGTTTTGAGTTTATTTGAGCCAAACTGATGACAATTGCAGGAAAGCAAAATCTCAGTGGAAATGGCAGTTTTACCACTTATCTAATATGTTCAAATCAAAGGGCAACACCTAAAGGGGTTACATGAAAAACATTGGTGATAGATTAGGGAGGCAGAGAGGGCAAAGCAGAGAAGTCTCTGAGATTGGATAAAAAGTAAAACAGACACATACTTCTTTTACATTTGTGGGTATAGCATAGTTAACAGTCAACAATTAACATGATAATAACAGTGAGGGGGTGTGTGGTTTGTTCTGGTGCAGTGGTTGTGCCTTGAGCAGTGGGGGGTTGAGGGGAGGAAATTACCCTGTCATTCCAAAGGTATGTTATCCTAGAGCAGCGACCCTTTAATACACCGCGACCCTTTAATACAGTTCCTCATGTTGTGGTGACCCCCAACCATAAAATTATTTTCGTTGCTACTTCATAACTATAATTTTGCTACTGTTATGAATCATAATGTAAATATCTGATATGCAGGATGTATTTTCATTGTTACAAATTGAACATAATTAAAGCATAGTGATTAATCACAAAAACAATATGCAATTATATATGTGTTTTCCGATGGTCTTAGGCGACCCCTGTGAAAGGGTCATTCGACCCCCAAAGGGGTCGAGACCCACAGGTTGAGAACCACTGTCCTAGATGCAGAAAGACAGTAGACAGGCTTTGTTGGGAAAGACTGACCTTTGTTAGGGAAATACCAGTCTAAGAACATGACGACCTGCCCTGGCCTGCTCTTAGGTAGAAAGGTTTGAAGTATGGTAGCAATCATCTCAGGTAGAAACTGTAGTTTAACTTTAACCCTGCTGTTTGGCTTCTGTACGTATTTGCTTTGTTTAACAAAGTTACTTTAATTTTCTGAATTATATAAATCATCCCATTCGATTAAATGCCTTATTGATTGTAGTGTGAATATCCCATGGGTTGTGGTCATACTGGTCTTAGAAAGCACATTTTCCTTTACCTGGGAAGGACAGCACAGTTATCCCAAGGTCAGAGGGCTCCAGTTAACGTGTCCTTGTTGACTCAGTGTTCCAGAGACCCAAAACTGTAATTTGGATAACATGCCTAAGTTTAGCCCAGGTTCCTCATTCCAGACCTGAGGGCTCTAGATAATGTGTTTCTGTCAATTCAGTGACCCCGAGACCCAAAACTATAATTAACATGATGCTTCTGCTTCTGTAAACTGCTTTTTTGCAAACCAAACCTTGAGATGTAATCAATACCTTTGTGATTTTTGCCTATATAAATCTGGTGTTGCGGCCATCTTATCGCTATGAGATTTGGGAAAGCAAAATGGCCCCTCATAGTCCCAGATTGCAATAAATGTGACTCTTTTATTCGACTTCTTGAGGCGTCCTTCTGTAATTCACGGGGTACATTACAACAGGTTCCATTTCAGACCATCCCTTGTGGGTACTTGCGGACTCTCGAGTTTGTAAGGCCGCCCTGCACACTGTCTGATGTAGTGTGTGGCCTTTTTCGTCCGTATTTTTAATACTGCCAACAGCCCTCCAGAAAGGTTTATCAGTTATAAACTGCGTCCCATTTCTCCAGACCCCTAGCAACTCTTGAGTATGTTTACAACTTTTGGCTAATTTGAAAGTTGGGAGTAAAAAGACACTTGGATTATGTGAAACCTAAATGCTATGTTTTCAGCCGCCTCTGGCATCCTGGAGGAAGGTAACTGAAAAAATTCGGCAGAGTTTAGCTTCGGGTATCCTCAGTGGGAGGGAACGCCAGGTTAATTGCAGCAGGTAGTCCAGAGAAGGTCAGGAAGGGCAATTAGCAGGGGAAGCGAGCTTTACAAACTCTTTTATGGGAAGGGCAATGGTTATAGGGAGGTTTCGCAGTTTTAAACTTGCGGCGGGTACGTCACTGCAGATTAGCTGCAACTGCTTTCCCTGGGAAAAGCACATCCCCTGACCACTGGGCGCGGTCAAGCTCCCAGCCCTGCGCGGCACAGGCAGTGGCGCTGCAGCTACTGGGGAGCGATGGGCAGCGGGGCAGGAGGACCCGGGCGGCCGCCCCGCCGTCCCACAATGCCCCGCTCCAGCCACCTGAGGGCGGAGAGAAAGGACAGCGGCGGGGGTAGGGATCCACGGCGAACTCCGAGAAGTGCGCACGCGCACTGACCCCGGCGGGCCCTAGCAACCAGAGCAGTGACAGTAGCAACCGCCGGAATGGTGAGTCTCTTCCAGGCCTGGTAGCCAAGCCGAGAAGAGATTGGAAGTGGGAACGGGTGATTGTAGAGTGGGGAGGGCGGAGGGTGTCCTTGAACAGCGGAAGGGAGCCCGGGAGCGGATGCTGGCTCCTTGGAGTCAGAGGCCTGGGGGGAAGGAGAAGCTGGGTGGTCTGGGGTGACGGGGCTTGGGCGGATTAGAGATTGGGTTAATGGGGAGGGACCCTGGCAAAGAGAAGGGAAGGCAAAGAGCAGGAAATTCTCGAAGAAGAGGGGCTTGGGGTGGGAACGGTGATGGAAGGGAGTGGGTGAATGAGGATATCTTTTACAAAGAAGTGATGCCCCCCTCCGCCGCTAGCGAGATGGAGTGGGGGAGCTGGCTACGAGGGTGATGCGTGTCACACCATTGCAGCAGTATTTAAACCTGTGGTGTGCGCAGGTTGCCCTGAATGACTGTGAGTGCAGTTATTAGGTAGCGTTGTGAAACCCAGTCTGATAGAATGCATTAGGGTACTGTTTCTCAAATGTCAGTGTGCGTATGTATGATTTTAGTGGGCCCAAATACTATATAAGCTTGTTGGAATACAGATTATGAATTTTTAATATGATGGGGGAGGTTCAGGCATGTGCGTTTTGACAATGCACCTCAAGTTATTCTAAAATTGGAGTGGGCCCCACCACACTTTGAGAAATACTGCCTTAGCTTTGAAATCTGTCATCTGTTTATCCAATGAAAACGGTTATGAAGTAATGGCTTGACCTAGTGATGCTCCTCAGTTCCTACTTAAAATGTGCTCTGTCTTGCTTGCATGCTTGGCAGTTCCCACTAGTAGCGTGAAAAGGGATGTTGTTGGTTAGTTATAGACCCAGCCAAAGCTGTTCAGCAAAGGATGTGATTGTCTGGCTGGGATGGAGATGTTTATGAAGAATAAGTATAATTAGTTGTCTTCATTATGTGATTCCAATGCTACATAGGTGGGCAGAAACTGAGCCCAAGAAATGGAAATGATAAGGAAGCCATTCATGCCCACCCTCAACCACGAGATTAAACACCACTCTTTTTAAAGTAGTCCCCGTTCCTTCCTTACTTTATTCCACAGGCATTTAGCTAAAACCACTGCCAAGGAAAGGAAAAAGTTCTGGAACCTAGGTTTATATTCAGGCAAAGAAACAATAAGCTCTAAATCCTGCAAGCATGAACCATAAGAATTATTGCAAATCTTCA